ACAACCTCGGCTGAATAAAAATCCAGCAATGAGTTGTTTAACTTTCCCCGCAACATTTAAAATTTTGGTGACGCCATCTGTTATCATTTTATTTTTATCAATTTATCTGTTATATTTTATTTTAAAAACATTTTATATTTTTAATTGCCGTATTTACTCGCATATAAGACGAGGTTTTTATTCATTTACCACAGCTTCAAATTCCTAGGTCGTCCTATATGCGCGAGCGAAAGATTCTTTGCGTTTTTGCAAATAATTTTTGTGAACCTCGTATTCGCATTTTTTCTTATCCTCTTCTATTTAAAAACATTTTATCTGGGTCGTTTGAATCGTTCTTGTATATTGTCAGGAGTAAAAATGAATAGCAATAGGAATTGAATTCTGAATTCCAGATTGAAATTTCAAAATCACACGGGAGCCTGATATAAGTTTTAATCCTTTCCTAAGTGAAAACACATGATTATTCGGAAATCAGAATTCGGAGAAATTCATAAGTGTAATTGACGAAGAGTAGATTCGACTGTTAAGAATTGGCAAAAAAAAAATCCCATTTGTCCATCTACATGAACAAATTATGTTGTCGATTTTACAAGATTTTTCCTTAAAGTTTAAAATGCCAGTAATTTTTGAAAGACAACGTGTGCAATGTGTTTATTTGATATTTTACTTGTGATTAAACGAAATAAAATTAGAATTGTATTAATAAATATAATTTTTTTTAATCCTTAAAGTCCACCTCGTCCTATATGCGAGGTTGTCTTATATGGGAGTAAATACGGTATTATAAATGGCAAAAAGCTTAATTTCGAGAATACGAATGAGTTTTATAAAAAATTGTAAATGATACTAACGAATAAAATCGTCATTAAGTCCCATCCTACTCGAGATATGACACACGACCCCAATTATCTCCCCACTCTCTCGACCTTTAACCACCAAAATTTAATAGCATCAATTCTCCTAATAAACAAACCTCACTGAAAAATTTCAGAAATTTTCGACAAATAGCGCAGCATTTATTAAGCTTCAACAGTGTGAATGTTAAGTGTGAACAAAATCGTGCCCCCACATATACTTCACTAACGTCCATACATATAAAAAAAACCCTGAATTTTTTGCATTTCTCGATGTTTCAAGGTCTCCTGAGTCCAAAAATGTAAATATCTTAAGGGATCACTTTTTGACCGATCGACATACGATCTACCCTCTGTTATATACAGCAATGCTGGGAAGTAAAAAGCGCGTTATCAGTATAACATAATTTCCAAAAAATGGCGGCTCCACGCCCTTCATTACGCTTTTTATCAACAGGAATAGCCTAGAATTCTGTAGATATACATCTGGGAAATTACACTAACGCTGTATTTCGCTTGCGTACGAACTATACTCAGCGCTACCAACTGGCCATATCACCAACCATATTATCATTAGGCACTTTATATTGATAAAAGTTTAATTTCGCATAATTTCGCACGAATATATATAACTGAATTTACCAGGCAAACATATTTATTCTTGTGAGAAGTTATTAAATGAAACACTAAAGGTTATATGAGAAATTGTCATACTCTGTCACATTATCGTCTATTAGACATAAACACTGATTTGTCTGTCTGTGGATATTCTCGGACTATTTATCTTCTTTTAAGNGGTGACCGTTGTTGGTGGTAACCTGTAAACTTATTGAAGATTCGACTGTATTATATAAACAAGATTTTTAATGTATTTTAAATGCTGCGTGATTACTTTTACAGTATTTTGAAATTAATATAGAATTAAAAATTTTTATTACTGTATGTTTATTCAAGTAAAGATAATTCTATTTAAATACTTAAAGACAATATATATATAAGTGCTATAATAATGAATTTTAATAAAATTTTTTATTTACTAACATAATTAAATATTTATTTAACTTTCTATTTATATATTTTATTTACAGTAAAAAGTAAAATTTACAATATTTAAATATATTTATTTAAAAAGTTCTCCAAGAGTTTACCATGCATTCATATTAATTTACGAATGAATGTGTGGAATTAGAAATAACTACAGCTATAATATAAAATAATATAAATAGACTTAAATATATATGTGTTTTAATAAATGTAATACTCTTAATGAAAAACTATGGACATAATTTGAATATTTTATTAGATATTTCTTAGAAAAATCTAAATGAATATGATCAATATGAATTCATTAATTTTTATAGAATAATATATAAAATACATGCTTTTTAAATATTAATTAGTTTTAAGATTTAAAATCTAAGAAAATAACCAAAGTCTTTAAAATAAATTGAAATTTAAAATAAATATAAATCAATCTTTATAATGTAAAGTTTTCAAACTTTACTTCAAAAATATTATTGAAAAACTACGAAATAAATAGAGTACCTGGTGAGCAGTAATGCTAAGTTTTGTAGAATTTTCCTGGCACTTTTTTACGGATTTTCAAATTTTTTTTGTAGGATAATGTACTTTGATTCCTTGGTAATAAGAGCAGAAAATAATTAAACATTTCATTCATTTGGAATTATTAAAAACAGTTCATTTGCAAAAGTCTAACTGTATGCTATATAAAAAGCATACGAAATTAATATAGCCACAAATTTTTATTTATCATAAAAAAGAATTTTTCAACTATTAACCAAAGAGGAATGTAGAAACTGCAAATCAAGCTATCAAACAATTAAAATTATCTGTTAATAAGACATGGAAACAAATACAACCTCGGCTGAATAAAAATCCAGCAATGAGTTGTTTAACTTTCCCCGCAACATTTAAAATTTTGGTGACGCCATCTGTTATCATTTTATTTTTATCAATTTATCTGTTATATTTTATTTTAAAAACATTTTATATTTTTAATTGCCGTATTTACTCGCATATAAGACGAGGTTTTTATTCATTTACCACAGCTTCAAATTCCTAGGTCGTCCTATATGCGCGAGCGAAAGATTCTTTGCGTTTTTGCAAATAATTTTTGTGAACCTCGTATTCGCATTTTTTCTTATCCTCTTCTATTTAAAAACATTTTATCTGGGTCGTTTGAATCGTTCTTGTATATTGTCAGGAGTAAAAATGAATAGCAATAGGAATTGAATTCTGAATTCCAGATTGAAATTTCAAAATCACACGGGAGCCTGATATAAGTTTTAATCCTTTCCTAAGTGAAAACACATGATTATTCGGAAATCAGAATTCGGAGAAATTCATAAGTGTAATTGACGAAGAGTAGATTCGACTGTTAAGAATTGGCAAAAAAAAAATTCCCATTTGTCCATCTACATGAACAAATTATGTTGTCGATTTTACAAGATTTCCTTGAAGTTTAAAATGCCAGTAATTTTTGAAAGACAACGTGTGCAATGTGTTTATTTGATATTTTACTTGTGATTAAACGAAATAAAATTAGAATTGTATTAATAAATATATATTTTTTTTAATCCTTAAAGTCCACCTCGTCCTATATGCGAGGTTGTCTTATATGGGAGTAAATACGGTATTATAAATGGCAAAAAGCTTAATTTCGAGAATACGAATGAGTTTTATAAAAAATTGTAAATGATACTAACGAATAAAATCGTCATTAAGTCCCATCCTACTCGAGATATGACACACGACCCCAATTATCTCCCCACTCTCTCGACCTTTAACCACCAAAATTTAATAGCATCAATTCTCCTAATAAACAAACCTCACTGAAAAATTTCAGAAATTTTCGACAAATAGCGCAGCATTTATTAAGCATCAACAGTGTGAATGTTAAGTGTGAACAAAATCGTGCCCCCACATATACTTCACTAACGTCCATACATATAAAAAAAACCCTGAATTTTTTGCATTTCTCGATGTTTCAAGGTCTCCTGAGTCCAAAAATGTAAATATCTTAAGGGATCACTTTTTGACCGATCGACATACGATCTACCCTCTGTTATATACAGCAGTGCTAAGAAGTAAAAAGCGCGTTATCAGTATAACATAATTTCCAAAAAATGGCGGCTCCACGCCCTTCTTTACGCTTTTTTGTCAACAGGAATAGCCTAGACTTCTGTAGATATACATCTGGGAAATTACACTAACGCTGTATTTCGCTTGCGTACGAACTATACTCAGCGCTACCAACTGGCCATATCACCAACCATATTATCATTAGGCACTTTATATTGATAAAAGTTTAATTTCGCATAATTTCGCACGAATATATATAACTGAATTTACCAGGCAAACATATTTATTCTTGTGAGAAGTTATTAAATGAAACACTAAAGGTTATATGAGAAATTGTCATACTCTGTCACATTATCGTCTATTAGACATAAACACTGATTTGTCTGTCTGTGGATATTCTCGGACTATTTATCTTCTTTTAAGTATACGAGAAAAGTCAACATCGCGATTAAGATAAACATTTTGAAGAGATAAGTTAAATAAAGTCTGAAGGTTTTATCATATTGTTCTTTTTTATAATTTGGACTGATGAGAAATTTTAAGAAGCCTTTATTCATTAATATTACCTGTGGAATATTCAATAGTTGATTAAACTTGCCAACTTTTTCCATGAAAAATAAATAAATAAATACTAATTGGTTGCAGTTTTAGCTAGTGAAATAAATGATAAACAAGTAGCTACTGAAAACACTAGACCGCCAGTCTGATCAGACTAACACGTGTTTTTTAATCAATTTTTGGCACATCATCGCATATATCTACTGTGACTTGACATTATTAGTCTATGTCATGTAAGCTGTGAATATATCAGTTCATTGTGGCTAATATATTCACATATTACATTAATTTTTTTTTTTTAATTTTTATAAGTGCAATTTTTTATTCTTCGGAAATTATGTAAAGTTTCTAAGAAAATAAATCACATATAATAACGTTTTATCAGTAATCTATAGTGCCGTAATTTCAACATATTTCCAGTTTTTTATGTTATTACTTAATAGAAATACAAGAATTAAATAATAAAATCTATAAATAATTATTAGAATATCATTATTACAATGCAATACAATACAATACTTTTCTCTATAAATTACCAAAACTCGTCTAAATTTCTGAATATCTGTGATATAAAATGTCAAACGAGCAGGAAAAGGTAAAAATTTTTTTAATAATTGTTCCATTAATAGATATTATTTAAATGTTTGCAAATACACAACAGCAGTTGCCAAAACCTCTTATTCCGGAACTTTCTCACACTCTGCAAAGGTTCTTAGAAGGAATTAAGACCATTGTTACTGAAGAAGAATATAAAGAAGCCGAGAACCTAGTTAAAGAATTTCAAAATCCCGGAGGAGAAGGAGAGAAGTTGCAAAATTTCTTAAAAGAATACGCAGAAAAAAACGATGATTATGTAAGTTATCGACGAGTAACTCAATAAAAGTAATTTAAATTATTTTAAAAAATTAAAGATTAAATTACAAATGAAAATTTGATGTCTTCAAACAACCTTCACAACCCCAGGAACACAATTAACATGAGCCAGAGACGACGTTTCTTTTGAGGCTCTTCGCTGTGTTCTGTGGTTGTAAAGGATGTGAAGACATCAAATTTTCATTTGTGTTTAGTTTTCAATTTTTTTTAAATATATTCAACTGTTTTTACAAATAATTGATATGAAATGGATATAACAGAGATTAAATGTAACCATATAAATTAAAAAATACTAACAGAGGATAAATCATAAAACGATTTTTAATTTGACTNGGAGAAGGAGAGAAGTTGCAAAATTTTTTAAAAGAATACGCAGAAAAAAACGATGATTATGTAAGTTATCGACGAGTAACTCAATAAAAGTAATTTAAATTATTTTAAAAAATTAAAGATTAAATTACAAATGAAAATTTGATGTCTTCACACAACCTTCACAACCCCAGGAACACAATTAACATGAGCCAAAGACGACGTTTCTTTTGAAGCTCTTCGCTGAGTTCTGTGGTTGTAAAGGATGTGAAGACATCAAATTAAAAAAAAATCAAAATTGTTTAGTTTTCAATTTTTTAAAATATATTTGGAAATTTTTCAAAAAACCATTAAAATTTAATTGTTACAGCTTACTAGAGTTTGGACAGAAGAAATGTACTTGAATAATCGTTTACCGTTGCCAATATACACAAATCCTTTTATTTTGTTACCGAAACAAAATTTTAGGGGGGACAATGATCGATTTTCGTATGTATTTATCAAAAATTAACACATTTACTTGAATATATGTACTCTTATTTCATAACTTCTGGCTTCCAGATTCATTGCAAAATTTATCATATTTTGTCTGAAATTTAAACAGAAATTAGAAAGGTATTCACAAGTATTGAGTATATTTCAGTAAAATAAATATATTAAATATACTAATTATTTTAGTGGAGAGTTGAAACAAGAATTGAAACAAGAAAGTGATTCATCAATGGCCAACTATTACCGTTTTTTTAATGTTTATAGAAGACCTGGAGAAGAAAAAGATGAGCATGTATACACTGATAATAGCAGACATGTTATAGTCATTTGTAATAATCAAGTAAATTCATATTCACTTTTTATCACAATATTTATAAATTTAATTACAATCACAATATAGAACCAATTATTTTTTTCCATTTTATTTTTGATTCTTTTTGTCCTGTAGATACTAAGACTCTAAGTAGCTCTTTTCTCTATGCCCATCATCAGTTTGGCTGGGTCCACAATTTGATTCGATTTATGCTATTGTGCAAATAGGGCGAATAAGCCAAATGTACCTCGACCATAAACGTTCATTGTGCATTCGATCTCTGGATCAAGTCTTGATTCATTATGGAGATTTCTAAGAAAGATTTATTCAAATGATTTACACTTAAAATTCTTTTTCTTGCTGTTGAAGATTTTTATATTGATTATATAAGCATACAACATTCATTTATACATTCATCTTACAAATCTTCAAAATTAATAGGTTTTGTTAACATATCACATCTCCCTTGTTCCACCAGTGGCCGAGTGGGTAAAACCACTGAATTCGTGGGTTCACACCTGGTCAAAGGCTGGACCCGTTGAATTTTCCGGATTTTCTTTACGTTTGTAACACTTAAATAGGGGCAATTTCCCATAGAAAGTCCTTCAAGGAGACATCCCCCTAGCACAGGCATGGCCAACATACGGCCCGCGGGTCAGATCCGGCCCGTCTAATGAATTTATTTGGCCCGCGATCAATCTTTCAATAATAGCTACTGAAGTCTCGAATAGCTCGATGAAAAATTCTGACGCCTAAAAAAAAAAAAAAAAAAACGGTCAACAACTCACTGTGCGTTTAGTTTTAACCCTCCATTACAAATATCGTAAGTACTTGTACAGCGTAGAATGTTGATAAAGCATGATAATGTGAAAAATGTATCTGTAATCTCTATGTACAATTTAGTCTCTACAGGGTGACACCACAATGAGATCTCGCACCACCTCAAAATCTTCCTAGGATGGTTCGGCCCGTGGAAAAAGTTTTCTTTCCAATTCTGCCCGGAGGCAAAAACTGTTAGCCACCCCTGCTCTAGCAGATCTCCCATGTGTTGCTATGCCTCCATCCACATTTTTCTTCGTAATTTCATCAATAGTAGTAAAATAAGGTTAAAAACTTTATGGCGCTTCTATTAATGAAAGTTGATAAAAGAGAACCGATGTAATTGATTTTCATTGCCATAAGTAAATTTTTTACAAATCGGCATCAGAAAACTATTTATCCTTATTATACATAAAAAGCAAGTTAAAACCTATATTTTCTCTGGCAGAAATTAATAATTTTATATGAATTTTTATGAAAATCTTACAAGTCAATCGTAGTAAGAACGATACTAATTAAAATGAATTTTCAAAATTAAATAAAATATCGATCTCAAAATATAAAATAAAATAATGTTAGAAATAAATATGGAAACATAACTAAACAAGGAAATTATTATTTATAAAAGCTTTCAACATATTTCCAGTTTTTTATGTTATTACTTCCCGAGAAATGCATACCGAGTGAGAAAAATCTTGGAGAAAAACTAAAAGAAATCCAGGATCAAAGTAAAACTGCACCTGCTTACAAACCAATTGGAATTCTGACTGCTCATAATCGACAACAATGGTCAGAATTAAGAAAAGATCTGATTAAAAGTAAGTATTTTATATGAACATAAGAAAGAAAATTACTGAAATTCTCATGTTTAATTCTAATTATATAATTAGGCGAAATTAATAAACAGTCAATCACACATATTGAAAATTGTTTATTTGTCGTGTGCATGGACGAGTCCATCGAATCCTTAGAAGGGCAAAAGTACCCATACTTCAACAAATTTTCGGATCAAAATCTCGAAATTATGGCTAATCATGTCCTACACGGGAATAAATCTATTCATTCCACTGCAAATAGATGGTTCGATGTATTTCTTCAGGTGTTAACTGTTACATTTCCCAAAATATTATTTGAAAGAATTTTACCTGAAATTTTTTTTTACTTCTTCACAGTTTATAGTCACTAAAGATGGTACGAATGGGATCTGTATGGAACCATCGGTCGTTGATGGGAGTTCAATGTTGCGATTCTGTGAACAGTTCTTAGCATTTCTGTATGAAATATATATACATTAGCTGTTTATATACAGAAAAACTCATTAATCTATTTTTATAGGAAAACACCTCAATCCGAAAGTGAAGATGCAGAAAATGTAACTGTATCAAGAATTCACTGGGAAATACACAAATCTTTTAATAAAAAGATAAATGACATAAAAGAATCAATCGATACGTAAACACATAAATACAGTTTTAATTACTACAATAATTAATTAATAAAAAAATAATTTTATTTTCCTACTTTATAGATTAATTGAACAGGTGGATCTGAATATTGTGAAATTTACAAACTTTGGCAAAAATTTCATAAAACAGCAGAAAATTAATCCTGATATCTTCTTACAATTGAGTTTGCAAATGACATATTTCAGGTTATAGTCTGTGTAACGTTATAACTTTGACCCACTAAATAAAGAAATAACGATTTATTTCTCATACAGAATTTATCGATATTTTACGTCTACTTTCGAAACTGCGAGTTTACATCAATTTAGGTTCGGGCGCATCGACAACATTCGATCTGCCAACGAAGACGTTTGGAATTTAATGGAATCTATATTCCGTCCTTTTGAGAAAGGGGTCAGTATAACTTTATTTATTAATTTTTTAATGATGCATAATAGAATTGACGTCATCTATAGACAGATAAACGGGATAAATTTACAAAAGCTATAAATAAACAAGAAGAAATTCTTAGTTATGTAAGTATGATAATATGCAAACGAGCATAGGATATCAAAAATTCTGCTTAAATCTGAAAATGTTTGTAAACTTTTATGTAGACGATGAAAGGAGAAGGCCCGGATAATCATCTTTTGTGTTTAAAACACATGGCTGCTTTAAAAGGTCTACCAGAACCCGCTTTTTTCAAAAGCCACTCTTACAGACAATTTATCGATTTTCGTTTATGTTTCAGTCAGGTACGATGTACTTTGATTTGCATTTTTATCATAAAAATGTTGAATTTGTCAATTTAATAGAAAATTCTGTTACAGATTACTACTAATCAAGACATCATAATGGGGTATTGTCCTTCTGCTTTACAGGGTTACGCCTGTACCTATATTCTTCACGATAATGATATCACGTTTTTCGTTTCTTCTGGCAAAAACGATAAGAAAACAAATACCAAGAATTTTGCTAACTGTTGGATGTATAGTTTAACGGATCTGAAACAAACTTGGGAATACTGCAACAGTCTTAGAGGTTTGCTTCTTTTCAATTAAGTTTAAATGAGATTTTCATGGATGAAATAATTTAATTATTTTTTTATAGTTTACCTGCCGTGAAGTAAAAAGTTAAAAGAAAAAGAAAAATGAACGCACAGAAAATTTTTCGAAGTATTTGAGAAAATTTTTAAAATGTTCTTTAAAACACCATTGTTTTACATACAAAATTCTTTACTGAAATTTGTTAATTATTTGGCCTTTAATTAATTTTTTTTAAATTATTGAAACTAAAGTAAATTGTTATTGACCGATAATTACACGATAAATTATCGTCCTACAGCTTTTGAGGAATTTGAATTGGAATCCAATTCAGACATTTATCATATCTAATAAATGCTTTTCGTCATTCTTCTTGCTCTCGTCATTCCGTCATTCGTCATTCCATACTGATGGACGCATAAGTATGCGTCCAAATAGATAACTAATCTATTGTTATTTAATGGGATAAAGCAACATAATACGTAGGCTATCTGCCGAAGAGAGTGCTATTCAGGAAGGTATTTTCTATTTAGGTATTAAATACTAGAAAACTAGTCAGCTCAAACTCGAGACCATCTGTGTTCAATGGTTATATCTACTCGGCCATTAACGAGTAGTTTAGACCGTCCTGTATTTATATAGACTAAACTAGCTGTTTATTAAATTAGATTGGCCCGAATTTTCAAAAATCATAAATTACATTCTCTTTGTTGAAAAGTAAGCGTCCATGAGTATTTTTTTCACAGGTATCACAAGTTAGGGTCCAAACATGTATTTAAAGCCATGTCTATAGGAGCTATGCGGTTGCTAAAACCCTCTCAGCTTAATCAGTAGTGCTCATACATAGTATATAAGCCTACCATAGCTTTAGCTTTCACCGCGTAAACGTATGAATGTTATTTTTTACACATGAACAATAAGGCAGCACTAACAAGTAAGTTAATATGCTTAGTGCTGCCTGGAAAAGTAAAATACCAGCTACAAGTTTCAGCCTCAGTTTTCCCCTAATTTATAAATTCAGTCCTCCAACAAATTATTTCCGGCTACAATAGAGGTAATGTTGTAAATTAATAAAATTCTAACAGGAACCCATTGAAAGCAATGGTATTATTCAAAATACAATCAGTAAGCTCATTTAAAACGTGTCGTTCTATACACAAATCATCAATACAGCAATTGTTATCTGGGTGCTTCTGCAGGAGTTAATGTTTAGCTGCTCTCCGGTACCATGAGGTTTCTATGAATTTTGCATCGGGTCACAGAGCGGCAATTTAGCATTCTTAAGGCCGACCAACTTCATCTAACGGGCTCCCAGTTAACGGTGACGGTAGTGGCGAACCACTTCGTGTCAATCATCTTGACCTGAGATTCACGAATAAAACTCTTAGACCTAGCGACAGTGAAATGTTCAAGTTTACCAAGTCGGAAACCCAGAAAACTCCACTCTGGTCGAACCTACGACCGAACTCTCAGTGTTCAGGGAACAGAAACCACTTGGTCACTGGTGAGCCCTGAACCATTGTATCTCTCTCTCAAATCTCTCTTCGCGGCAACACATACAGGGCAAGAGCTTTGCTTAATATCTGAATCTTGTTTGTATCTTCAGACGTTTTTCAAACGAAGCTAGACAGTATTTGTCAGTATTTGACAGTATCAAATTAATAAATAGATAGAGTAATATTTATTATTGTTAAGAAATTTTGATTACAAATTGGTGTGATAAGCTAATTTGGTGTGATAAGCTAATTTGTAACCACACACGATTTCTCAACTTTTTATTTTTCATTGTCTGTTATAAAATTATTATTAGTTTACTGAAATGCATTTCAGTTTTTTAATTTGAATTCCTCTTCAGTTAGCAATTTTTATTGAGGATTTTAAAGCACAGATAAGAACACAGTCAATTGGTTTACAATATTTATAATTGACTCTTAAACTACAATATTATAGTGTTTTCTACACACTACCATAGAATTATAACTAATAAATTTCTAGTTCGATGAAAATTCTTATTAAAGTTTCTAATTTTACTTTAGCATTTTTGTGCTTTATGCCACTTCTTATATTTATTCTAACGTTGTTTAACCTAAATTATAAATGCTTAAAATTATCCCTGGTATACCAGGGTAGATACGTTCTGAAAAAGTGCCGTGTTATGCGATTTCGTGCTATACAAAACAAAGGACTAATGCAAAACACGGTGTTACGTTCCAGAAGTTAGCAATATACTATTCTTTTTCGTTACTAAGAGAAATATGTTTATTAAAGCAATAATTTACTAACAATCACAATTAAAAGTTCTGTATTACGCGTTAATATTAATTTTAGCTAAACGAGGACGTTTTCTTTTTACAGAGTATCATCGTCATCTCAGCTTTTTTGTTCTACGCTGTATTTTTCTTACCTACGGTTAAAAAAGATTTAATAACACTTACCTAAATATATTTAAATAAAATTTACTAAATACGAACATTACTGTAATCTATAAAAACAAAATACAGTGACAGTCTTAAAAGCTAATGTCTGAAAGCAACGACACTGGTTGATAGGAAAGTTAGGACAAGGAAGAAAAAATTCTACTATCAGTTTTTATTAAAGTAAACCTGGCGAAAGGCACAAAACAAATTGAAAATTTCAATATTCTAAAATCCGTGGACAAATTTAAGACAACGCGCGTGATTACATGAATAAATAAATAATATCGAATAACGAAATTTACACTTAAAAATTGTGAAATTTTGTACGGAGAATTTCCAGAACAGTGTTAAGTCTGATACTCACATGCGGCAACGGACGACGAAACGGCAAAATGACGTCACTTTTGCCGACGAATACGACACTGAAGATTTTCAACTTTTGCCGTGGAGGAAAGCGGAACGGCAAAAATTAAACCAATAGGAAGGCTGTTTAGCAATGTCGTCATAAAGATCACGTGGGACGATGGCGGTCGGCAAGCTAAAAAGCTTTATTTGTACACTAATACGCTAATATATTTCATTTATACGCTATATTATTATAAGATTTAAATATTAATGCCAAATAGACGTACTGTACTTACAGCGTAAAGTATTGGGAATAGAGTAATCGTAATTCGGTGACGAAAGTATTCGATATTCCTAACTTTCGACGATTTAGGATATTTTTCCTATCCAAATTATTCATTTTTGAGGATTTTTATTTGCAATAAGATCGAAGGCAAACTTAAGTTTAATTGATATAACAAAGCAATTCGACTACTGCAGGCATGGCCAACATACGGCCTATCTAATAAATTTATGAGGCCCGCGATCAATCTTTCAATATTAGCTACTCAAGTCCGAACAGCTCGATGAAAAATTCTGACGTCTAAAATAAAAAGGTCAACAACTCACGGTACGTTTAGAGTTAACCCTCCATTACAAATCTCGTAAGTACAGCGTAGAATGTTGATAAAGCATGATAATGTGAAAAATGTATCTTTAATCTCTATCTACAATTTAGTCTCTACGGGGTGAAACCGCAATGAGATCTTGCACCACCTCAAAATCTTCCTAGGGCAGCCTCTGGTTAGGTCCGTGGAAAAAGTTTTCTTTCCAATTCGGCCCGGGGGGCAAAAACTGTTGGCCACCACTGGACTACTGGCACGTGGCCCTTCTACTGTAGTAGCTTGTTTATATTTACGGCTGGCAGATAGCGCGTTTCAATTGCAGGGTAATTTCCCATGTGAGTACACGCGACACGGAAAGTTGCCGTATGTGAGTACCAGGCTTTAGAGAGAAACCGGAAGTCGTGTTGTACGAGGATACCTGTATTTTCTTTTTGTCGATTTTTCATATTTAATTTATAAACTGATAATAATTACTATTTATTTTTACATTTAAGTTATTATTAATTATTATTGTTAAATAATGACCTACACCATCAGGGGCGAATCCAGAAATTTCATTTAAGAGGTGCGCTACATGTCAATATCGGTAACCTGTGTACTGTAGTTCTACTATGGAAAACTATTATAAATTGCTCGTATTATTATTTCTTTTTTCATCTAATAGAGTGGTTCTCAACTTGTGTTTCGCGGAACACAAGTCTACTACAAACTTGCCTCGCATGTTTCTCGAAAAAAAATTGTAATTTTATTCAAGCACAAATTACAACAACATATTATTTTGCTCTTTGACAATTCCATATTTCTATTTTATTCAATACAGCAATAAAGTTTGTTGCTTCTTTGTTTCGCGAGAATAGTACACATGGAATTTCCTATCGATTGTTGAATACCCATTGATCTAATGCGATTTGTACCATTTAGAGTCAATTCCGTAACCTTCGTTTTCATTTTTTTAAAATTTAATTAATTAATTTTTTCGATTTCTGGATGTTTGTTTATTTTTCTTTTTATACTATTATTCTCTTTTTAAATTATTACCATAATATTTTTATTTATTTCGCATCTATTATTGTTACAATTTTCAATAACTGTTGATATAGATTAGTTTGTTTTGATTGCATTTACAGTATATGTTCTTTAATTATTTGATTCAGTTTTCAGTTTGTTTCTCCCATATAAAATGATAACTTATAATTTAGGCTAAACAATTTTGGAATAAATATAAGATATGGCATGATAAAAAAAATGCTAAAGTAAAATTGAAAATATTAATAAAAATTATAATCGAATAGTTTATTAGTTATAATTCTATTCTGATATGTAGAAAGTACTCTATTATTATAGTTTGTTAAAAGTTAATTATAAATATTGTGAACCAATTGACGATGTTCCTGTCTGCGTTTAAAATCTTCAACAAAGAATGTTAACTGAAGAGGGGTTAATATTAAAAACCCGAAATGTATATTTTAGCAGTTTTCAGATGCGTATTAATTATAAACAATGAAAAGTAAAAAGATATAAAATCGCATAAGTGTGGTTACAAATTAGTGTGAGAAATCTTTAATTATAAAAAACATAAATCTATATTTTATTAATTTACAAAGTTATAACAATAATTGGGTAAAAGCTTTAAAATTAAATAGAGGTAATGTCACGCATACAATTTAGTTTATCCTCAAAGGCAGTTATTTGAAACAATGAATATTGACATCTTTGACAGCTGTTGAATAAAAGCGTGCGAAAGTTTCGACACGT